CCCCAAAACCCCAAAACCCCAAAACCCCAAAACCCCATTGTCAGAGAATTTAACAGGAATTAGAAGAAATTTCTTAATCATAAATTTTATTTATTTTTCATAATTTTTGAATAAATTTTGAATTAGAATACATTCCACTTGTTTCCTCTGTGAGAGTTTTGGATCCCTTTTATTGTACCCCTCTAGCCTGGATACAAAAGTGCTCTGCCTCAATAATGACCCTAACATCTCGGCTTTGAAGAACGAGTTAGAGTGCACGGTGAATTTATTTGGTAAGTCTTTCCTATACTTGTGGCCTGCGTGCAAAGTAGTTTACCACTCTGTTCAATTTGCTTAATCCAATTACTCTCCCATTACTTTGGTAGGAGATGTGTGCTACACCAAAGAAAGGCATGAGATGATGCTCACACATTGAAGTAAATGGAATGTTTGTTTGTGTTACGTTGCTAATCTCCTTGATATCGAAAGTAGTACAATTAGGAAAACTTTCCGGGCTTAGTCCTTGGAACAATTCATTCACGTACATCTTTGCTACTCTTTTAGGAGTGTCTCTTAATGACTCATCGTTTAAGTCAAGACCTAATGTCTCCATAATTTGTTATACTAGTTCTGTTATCTTAGAAGTCTTTTCAACGTTAGTCAGAACATTCATGGAGTTGATTGGGGTTTGAATTCTTTGATCAATAAGCATCTACCTTACTAGTTACTCGAGTTGATCTCCTCTTTAATCTATCGGATTGTTTAAGGGGACAATGGTTTGCAATTCCATTTGTTGTTAACTAATTAAATATTATTGTCGAATATATTACAGATTAACTTATAGGAATTAATACTAACTTTTGGTGCAAAAGGTAAGTTACTCACTGCAGAATTTTTCCAAAAAAAGAAAATGCTATAATAAACTAAAGTTCATGAATAAAGTCAAAGCTTTGTATATCCTCCATGGATCATGTAGCATTCTCCATTAAGATAGCTCCCGTCCTTCGAGCAAACTGAAGCTACAAAATCTGCAATTTACTCTGGTCTTGCAGCTATCTTCTTATATTTCTCAGGGTTTTATTAAATCACATCTTATACCATCTCAGTATCAACTAGACCTGGAGCAATGGAGTTAATCCTAATCTCGTATTATCTTAATTCTTCACAGAGACTTTTGACAAGATTATTAATTGCAGATTTTGCTAACCCATAAACTCCAATTTTATAAAAAGGATCAAAAGCAGCCATACTGGATGATATAAGAATGCTAGAGCCTTGAGCCATTATAGATTTGGCTTCTTTAATCATGAAAAATGTAGCTTTAAGATTTAAATCCATGGATCTATCATATTACTCCTCAGTAATATCTAATTAATCACCGAAATAAATGATCGTTCCAACATTAAGAAACAACACGTCAATCCTGCCATATTTCTTCTTGACATACTCTATCAATAACTATCTATGATCTCTCTTTGATATGTCGCACTTTTAAACATCAATGTGTTTTTAATCTTTAAGCTACTCTCTGGCTTGCTCTAAATTCTTGTCTTAGCTTGAAGTGGTTACTACCATTCCACCTTCTGAGGCGAATCTTTTCGCTGAGGCTAGTCCGATACCCTTTGTGCCTCCAAGTATTACGCATACTCTATCTTAAAATCTATTATTCATTACAAAAACAATTAAAAATTATTTCACTATCGAATGGTATGTTTAATAAGTCATGAGAATTTGCAAATTCAGATTATTAGATCGTGAAGTTTCTGTAGCGTCATCACTATTTGATGCTGTGAAAGCAGAACTATTATTGCTTAGAGAGATGTGTACTGGTGAAAGAATATCAACCAATTTATTGAAGCAACTTGAGGAAGAGTTACACACAGACTTAATTCCAAAGAAATGGAAAAATTATATTGTTGCTAATTTCTCATCCTTTGAATGGATTCATGATTCAAACTGATAATAGATAGGCTTTCAATTTCAACTGACTTTGGGAAGAAAGGGCTTTGGTTAGTTGAATTACTTTTCCCTGAGGCTTACCTTACAGCTATTAGACAGAGTGTTGCTTAAGTGAACAAATGGAGTTTGTAAGAACTCGAGCTTAAATTTTAACTAAATCCATCAGATGAGTACATTCAAAAGAATCTACTTAGTTTCATTGTTAGGATATCTATTTTCATCATTGTTTTGAATAAAGTAATAATAAACTGATTAGTAGTTAACAATTAGATTAATCAAAATCTATATTCAATATTCTTGGCAGAAGTATAACAGTTGCATCCCCTAAACACTGTCTAGTCATCTTTTGATAAATTTCCTTGTAAATTACAAATAATTTACTCAATAAGATTCCCTGTAAAGGTAAAGTCCTTGATTTTTATGATAACTCTTGCAAAAATATTTTTTAGGCAAATCATTTATTTGTGAATCATTCAATCTAATACTCCCTGAGAACTTAGTAGCATTATTTAATGGAGTATTAGGCTAATTAGTCCTGCTAGAAATAGTCCATTCATCTCTCTTATCCTTGTGATAAATAACTGTAAGCACTTTATGGTAAAGATTCAAGTTAGGTGTTATTTGTTTCCCTAGTAAAAAAACAAATAATTAAAACTTATATTACTCTTGGAATGAATTTTAATGGTGGCTTATTCAAATATAGGATAAATGCTTATCCTACCCAATGTAATATCTCTTAAATTTAGATTCAATGTTGCAAAAGCTCTAATTAAAGCTAAAAGCACTACATATCCTTACCTAATTTACAGTGTAATTTGCTTTCATTTGAAAAGGAAGTGCTGTTTTAAATGGTTTGCAAGCATATTGCAGAAGTGTAAATTTTCCAAAGGGAGGAGTAAATGAAGTGATGCTATACTCATGATTCCCAAGATTTTGGAGTTCTCTATTTTCACATTATCTATGACATTAATAGTCCTCTATATCTTTGTTGAATCTGCATTTTATTTGTATTTTAGGTTTAGATCCTGGTAATTTAGTTTCCACTTCAATCTTTCCAGTTATCTGCTATAATTCAATGTCTCCAGCTCTATCATAGTTTAATTTATGCATAATCTAAGATATACTTACTCATTAAAAATGCAATCTACATATTCAATTAAATCTACGAAACAGTCTTTTACAAAAGCTGTAACACTTAAGGAGCTATTTCCATCTTAATTAAGGGCAGATAAATCTGTACCAGCATTCGTAGTATTTGTATTGAATCTCCAGAAAGCATTGGGATTGCTTGTAATCTAACTCACAGCATTCAAAAGTGAATTAGAATGCTTATCACTAACTTGGCCATAGAGGGCATTCTAAGCTTTGTCTAGCACGCTTGATTTCTAAAGCATATTTACTATTATGGATTTCTCGGTAAGGGATGGTAAACCGAAGTCTATCATGGTATCTAAAACTAAAGTAAGAGATGCAGAGTTATCTCTTATTTTATCTAAACCAATAGTCTCGTCAGCAATTTCAATGAAAAATCTACATTAAAAATTTTATGTAATCTAGATATATGTTGTGATACCTCAAAAATTAAACTGTAGAAGGAGCTTCATTCATTATGGAAGCCTAATTCAATTTATTAGCAAATTTATTTTTACACTCTATAAGAGACTCAAAGCAATAAATGTCAAGTCATTCCTATTCCAATCAGAAAACTATAATATTTACTTTGCAATAAAAGACACTGCAAACTGCTTTTCACTCTATATTATATCCTTAGACAACTAGAATATTTGCATTTCTGAGCAATTTTGAGTTTCTTTGTGAACTAATCTGACTTATTCAATAGTAAGATTAATATCTAGGATTCTGAATTCCCTCTTTATGATCACTGTGCCATCTTATTATACCACATAAAATGCTGCGATATTTGCCATTTTTAAATCTAAAAATTATCATTAATCTCAAATTTTGAAATTAACTAGTAAATTTAATAATTGGGGTTTTGGGGTTTTGGGGTTTTGGGG